CAGATTGTTCGAAGTAAATTTTCAAAAAAGAGGCTAACCTATGATATGCTATAGAGAAAAACAAAGCCTATGGAAGATTTGTGATAAGTTTGATTCTCAAAACAGCTGTCTCTCTGTTGCTGGGGGGAAGATAACAGGAGGATGCATTAAGACAGACTCTCACATGGTGGAATGTATTGCTGTAGGTGTGTTTAGGCCAAACCAGTGGTGGCGAACCTATGGCTCGCGTGCCAGAGGTAGCACTTGGAGCCCTCTCTGTGGGCACGTGCACCATTGCCCCAGCCCCGCTTCCCCCCACAGCCCCCTTCTCACCAGCAGCTCCCCCCAGAGGAGAGTCTCCCCCAGGCATGGCCTGTGCGGAGCAGCGCAGCCAAGGACATGACAGCCGGGCAGCAGGGACAAGACTCCGTCCTTGTGCCCAATTGTGTGCAGATGATGCTGCGGGGTTCGGGTGGAGGGCGTGGCTGCCATGGCATTGCAAGGGCGCCTAGGTGATCTGCTGCAGTGGACCATGGAGATGGTGAGTGGCCCTGCAGATGGACGGGGCAGGGGCAGAGCTCGGGCGGGCTGGGGGCGTGGCGTTTTTTGGGCACTCAGTCTCTAAAACAGCGGTTCTCAACCTGTGGGTCGCGACCCCATTTGGGGTTGAACGACCATTTCACAGGGGTCACCAAACAATGCAGTCCGCCATTTTTCCCCCTTTTCCTTAGTTGTGCTACTCCCTCTTATTCTATTGGCTTTGAAAGCCAATAAAATAGACTCTCCTGAATAGAGTCTAATTCTATTGGCTTTCAAAAGCCAATAGGAATTGTCCAGGCTGTCTCTGCTCTGCTGAGCCCACCAAAAGTCCCAGTCTGCAAACGGTGCTGCAAGTTGTCTGCAGCGAAGGCGAGCTGTCTGGAAGTTTCCACCCCTCCCTGCTGAGCAACTACTAAAAATGTAAGTAAAAGAGGGCCAGGGGTGGGAGGTGGGAGGCCGACGGGCACAGGGAAGGTTGGTGGCACACGTGGGGCCCGGCGGGTGCCTTACCTCCCTTGGGCTGGGCCAACTGGTGGTCCAGCCGGTGGTCACCCTGCGCCGTCACTGCCCCTTGCCAGCTACGCCTCGGCTGATGCAGGGGGCAGCACCACACATGCACGGTGCTCCCGGGCAGGGAAAATCCTCGACTTACGACCAGTTGGGTAGTCCTCGACTTACGACCGGTTGGGTAGTCCTCGACTTAGGACCGGTTGAGTAGTCCTCAACTTACAACCGGTTAGGGGTCACGGCATTTAAAAGGTTGAGAACCACTGCTCTAAAAGGTTCGCCATCACTGGGCCAAACCCTCATTGCCCTCTGGAAGGCTATTAAAATCATTTTATTTTCATGACTATTTGATTCATAGTGTGTTTGTTGTTGGCCTTCTGAGTATAATACTGGTACTTGTTTTATTAATTGCTTCTGCCACTCCACTCCACTGCACCTTGGACCTGGAATGGAATAATGTTTCTTCTGTGCCTCTTCCCCTCCCAGATTGTCCAAATTGTCCTGCAGCAGTGATTCCCCTCACCACCAGTTAGGGCAGCGGTTCTCAACCTGTGGGTTGTGACCCCCATTTGGGGTCGAACGACCATTTCACAGGGGTTGCCAAACAATGCAGTCCGCCATTTTTTCCCCCTTTTCCTTAGTTGTGCTACTCCCTCTTATTCTATTGGCTTTTGAAAGTCAATAGAATAGACTCTCTTGTTGTTGTTGTTGTTAATTGTGAAGTCGTGTCCGACCCATCGCGACCCCATGGACAACGTTCCTCCAGGTCTTCCTGTCCTCTACCATCTTCTGGAGTCCATTTAAATTCACACCTACTGCTTCAGTGACTCCATCCAGCCATCTCATTCTCTGTCGTCCCCTTCTTCTATTGCCCTCAATCTTTCCCAGCATTAGGCTCTTCTCCAGTGAATCCTTCCTTCTCATTAGGTGGCCAAAGTACTTGAGTTTCAACTTCAGGATCTGGCCTTCTAAAGAGCAGTCGGGGTTGATCTCTTCTAGGACTGACCGGTTTGAACGCCTTGCAATCCAAGGGACTCGCAGGAGTCTTCTCCAGCACCATAGTTCAAAGGCCTCAATTCTTTTGCGCTCAGCCTTTCTTATGGTCCAACTTTCACAGCCATACATTGCAACTGGGAAAACCATGGCCTGGACTATACACACTTTTGTTGGCAGGGTGATGTCTCTGCTTTTTAGATGCTGTCTAGATTTGCCATAGCTTTCCTCCCCAGGAGCAAGCGTCTTTTAATTTCTTGGCTGCAGTCCCCATCTGAGGTGATCTTTGAGCCCAGAAAAATAAAATCTGTCACTACCTCCATTTCTTCCCCATCTATTTGCCAGGAATTGAGAGGGCCGGATGCCATGATTTTGGTTTTCTTAATGTTGAGTTTCAAGCCAACTTTTGCACTCTCCTTCTTCACCCGCATCAAGAGGCTCTTTAGTTCCTCTTCACTTTCTGCCATTAGAGTGGTATCATCTGCATATCTTAGGTTGTTGATATTTCTCCCGGCAATCTTAATTCCAACTTTTGATTCATCTAGCCCTGCCTTTCTCATGATGTGCTCTGCATATAAGTTAAATAGGCAGGGCGACAGTATACAGCCTTGCCGGACTCCTTTTCCAATTTTGAACCAATCAGTGGTTCCGTGTTCGGTTCTCACTGTTGCTTCTTGACCCGCATATAGGTTTCTCAAGAGACAAATGAGATGGTCTGGTACTCCCATCTCTTTAAGAACTTGCCACAATTTGTTGTGATCCACACAATCAAAGGCTTTTGCATAGTCAATGAAGCAGAAGTAGATGTTTTTCTGGAACTCCCTAGCTTTCTCCATGATCCAGCGTATGTTGGCAATTTGATCTCTAGTTCCTCTGCCTCTTCGAAATCCTGCCTGTACTTCTGGTAGTTCTCGATCCACATACTGCTGGAGTCTAGCTTGTAGGATTTTAAGCATAACTTTACTAGCATGTGAAATGAGTGCAATGGTGCGATAGTTTGAACATTCTTTGGCATTGCCTTTCTTTGGAATTGGAATGTAAACTGACCTTTTCCAATCCTGTGGCCACTGTTGAGTTTTCCAAATTTGCTGGCAAATTGAGTGTAGCACTTTTACTGCATCGTCTTTTAAGATTTTGAATAGCTCAGCTGAGCAACAACAAAGCTAGTGGAGGTGACAGTATTCCAGCTGAGCTATTCAGACTCTCTTGAATAGAGTCTAATTCTATTGGCTTTCAAAAGCCAATAGGAATTGTCCAGGCTGTCTCTGCCCTGCTGAACCCGCCAAAAGTCCCAGTCTGCAAACAGTGCTGCAAATTGTCTGCAGCGAAGGCGAGCTGTCTGGAAGTTTCCACCCCTCCCTGCTGAGCAACTACTAAAAATGTAAGTAAAAGAGGGCCAGGGGTAGGAGGTGGGAGGCCAGTGGGCGCAGGGAGGGTTGCTGGCGCATGTGGGGCCTGGCGAGTGTCTTACCTCCCTTGGGCTGGGCCAGCTGGTGGTCCAGCCGGTGGTCACCCTGCGCCGTCACTGCCCCTTGCCAGTTACGCCTCGGCTGATGCAGGGGGCGGCACCACATATGCACGGCGCTCCCGGGCAGGGAAAATCTTCGACTTATGACTGGTTGGGGGTCGTGGCAAAAAAGGTTGAAAACCACTGATCTAGATGAAGGGAACTCATCACATTTGCAGATGACACAAGCTAACACTTTGGAAGACAGACTCAACATTCATAAGGCTCTTGACAGCCTTGAGCACTGGGTCCTAACTGAAGCAAATGAGGGGAAGGACAAGCTCTATGATTTTTTAAGCATGTGAAATGCAGTCATGTGATTGCTTGGTGGGTGTGTGGCATGACATTTTACGATGGGCTCATTATAATTTAAAGCAGTCATTAAGCAACTGTTTGTTAGTCAAGGGCTATCTGTATATATTTAGCTGTAAAAGAATTGAAAAAACAGGTAGGCCTCAGTTAAAAACCATAATTGCAACTGCATCCCTAAGGGCTACGGTCACTAAGTGTGACCATGACTGCCAGAGGCTTATGATTTCTTTTCTTTTGGTTGTTAAAAAAAACACTGCAGTTACTAAGCAAGACTTCACGTGTCTATGACTGGTGATTTTACTTCTCTGTCCTCCATTAACTCTGCTTGGAGGCTGGTTGTGAAGCACAAAATTGGCAATCATGTGACTATGGGACACTGCATCAGTTGTAACTGCATGCCAGTTGTTAACCACCCAAATGGTTGTGGGATTATGTGGCAGTTGTAAATGCATGAGCTAGTCACAAAGCTGTTTTTTACACAATCCTCACTTTGAATGGCCACTAAATGAGGCAGTCAGTAAGCAAGATTGCCTGTAGGGACAATTAAAAATAGGACTACTATATCTGGGCTGTAAAAATGTGGATCACTAATGGGAGCAAACTTCTGTAGGAAATTTTGTTAATTAGCACTTGTTTTACTGTAGTCCAAATTAAAGGTAAAAGAAAAATGAAATAAGAATAAAGTAAGTTGATAATAGAAGTTTAACATGTAAAGAAGAAGTTGTCAGAAAAAGGAGTGAAACAACAGATAAGTTATTGGTACATTAGGGATAAAGCTTGAACATGAATAAAATATGCAGATTAAGAAGTCAAGGGTTTGGAAGATATAGAAATCAAATGTAAGAGACAAGTTATTGGGACTGAGAAAATTCCTGGCTAGGGAGAAGCAGTTTAAAAAGCTAGCATAGTTTGATATGTTAAAACAGTTACTGGTTAATAGGGATATTTTGGTTTGAAAAGTAATTTCTTTATACACTAGACCTTGAGTGTTGTACTGGATTGGATATATGAACTGAATTGTGAAGCTTAGTAGTATACTTTCTGGAATTTGCAATAAGTTGATGTTTGTTGTCTTGGAGATAGAGAATCTAAATTTCTAAGCATATAAGAAGTCATTGTCAACATTATTTCAGAATAAAAAAGCAAAATATTAACTACTGACAGCAATAAGCTGGTAGGAATTGTTCATCATGGCTATCAACATGTTAAGCAGGACCACCAGTGAGATGACGTTGTAGGTCCCAAACATAGTGGCCCCAACAAACTCAGTGAATTCATGTCGAGCTTTAACATTGGTCACATACAGGTTGATGAGTCCAAAGACTGACCAAAATAATGATTGGAGAGTTTCGAATAAACTGGAAAAGAAAAGAAACAAAAAAGCAGCAAAGAGTCATTATCACAACTTATTTCAAGTGGCTACAGATACAAAGTATTAAAATGTAACTATTGCTTTTAAATATCAATTCTTCTTATAAATTAAACAAGCCAATTCAATTACATAAAATGAGAAGAACAGAAGGGGAAACTTGTTCTCTACAAATCCACTATGACAGCCAATTCTGTTGCTCTTGATCAGGAAAATGCATGATGATAATATCAGAATAAGAGGCAGGTTTTACTACAGTAGCATAAAATAGAGCTGGAAGAGACCTTGGAGGTCTTCTTGTCCAGCCTCCTGCTCAAGCAGGAGAACCTATATCATTTCAGACAAGTGACTATCCAGTCTCTTCTTTAAAACCTCCAGTGATGGAGTGCCCACGATTTCTGAAGGCAAGCTGTTCCACTGGTTAATTGTCCTCACTGTTAGGAAGTTTCTCCTTAATTTCAAGTTGCTTCTCTCTTAATTAGTTTCCATCCATTGTTTCTTGTCTTGTCTTCTGGTGCTTTGGAAAATAAATTGACCCCCTCTTCTTTGTGGCAGCCCCTCAAATATTGGAATACTGCTATCATGTTCCCCTTAGTCCTTCTTTTCTCTAGACTAGCCATACCCAATTCCCGAAACTGTTCTTCCTATGTTTTTGTCTCCAGGCCTTTAATCATCTTAGTTGCTCTTCTTTGCACTTTTCCAAAGTCTCAACATCTATTTTGTAATGTGGTGATTAAAACTGAATGCAGTATTCCAGGTGTGGCCTTACAAAGGATTTGTAAAGAGGTACTAATACTTTACATGATTTTGATTCTATGCCTCTATCTATACAGCCAAGGATTGTGTTAACTTTTTTGGTTGCTATCACATATTGCTGGCTCATGTTTAAGTGATCATCCACTAGGAAAGGAGTCCCAACCTTTCTGGGTTGGCAGCCCAGAGGGAAAGGGAAGGGCAGGCACCTTTATGTGTGCATGCACACACATGCTAATGTGGTTGCGTACACATGAACAGGTCCACAAGCATGTGCTCTCCACATATGGGGCTGCTAGTGCCAGCATGAGGCTTGCAGCTCGGCTAGTGCTGGAGTGAGGCTTGGCTAGCGCCGGTGTGCAGCTTGCAGCTCAGCTAGTGCCAGTGCGAGGCTTGTGGCTCAGCTAGCGCCAACGTGAGGCTCACAGCTCACAGCTTGGCTAGTGCTGGCACGAGACTCATGGTTTGTGGCTAGGCTAGTGTTGGGGCAAGGCTCGCAGCTTGGCTAGTGCAAGGAGGGGTAAGTGTGCACACTCACACATGTTCCCTGGCCAACCAGTTACGTGGCCCAGTGGCCAAGAGGCCATGGCCCAGTAATGAGTTGCGGCTCATAGATTGGGGACCTCTGCACTAGGACTCCAAGTTTCCTCTCACAGTTACTGTTTTTGAGCCAGGTTTTGCCTAATCTGTGCTTGTACCTTTGGTTTTTCCTGCCCAGGTGTAAAACCTTGTTTTTCTTCAGATTAAATTTCATGTTGTTTGATAGGGCCCATTGTTCAAGTCTCTCAAGATCTTTTTGGATCCTTAGCTTGTCTTCTGGGGTGTTGGCTATTCCTATTAGTTTAGTGTCATCTGAAATTTGATGAGTTCCCCTTCTATTCCTTCATCTAAGTCATTTATGAAGATATTGAAGAGTACTGCATCTAAGACAGAGCCTTGTGGTACCCCACTGCTTACTTCCCTCCATGTAGATATAGCACCATTACTCATTGAATGCAGTTTGTCAATCAGTTACAAATCCATCTGGTGGTGATGCTGTTTATCCCATATTTTTCTAGTTTACCAAGAAGTAGCTTGTGGTCTACACTGTTGAATGCAGGGAAGCACAGGATGGTTGGCTGCCAATATTAATGGCATACTGATATTTATTATAGTGTCTAATTTCAGATTACTTTTATCTCTGCGAAAATCAATGACAGAATATCAGCTTTTATATTTTGGCCAATAAGTAAGTTTTGCTGATGCAATAGTTTTTCATAATACTAAAAGTAATATTTAACGCATAACTAGATAATCTACACTCTTTTGGGTCATTGTTTCAGAGAGATATCCTTACCTAAATAGAGAAACAAAATGTTTGCCCAGAAGGGTGTGCAAAAATGCAGTAGGAGCAGGAGCAACTTTCAAATTCTTGCTGGCTTGGCAGCAAGCCAAATTCCAAACTCAAACTTCCATTGAGTTTCCTTTAGGAATCTGGCAGGGAGCATTGGAAATCAAATTACCCTTCCCTTCGGTAAGTGACTGCTGCTAGATGGGGAGGGAGCAAGAAAGTGCATGTTTGACTGGAAACTGTCACAGAATGTTGAAAATAAAGATCATATGACTACAGCAGCAGTGCAGCTGTCTATTAGCAGTCAGTAGCACTGAAGAAGCCACAACTTCCCCAAATTTCATCCCCTTGGGAGTCATGGCTCCTGAATTTTGGACACATTCTGTAATTTAACCCATTTGAGGTACGTTGGTTCAAAAGCTGTTGCCCTACAATGCACTATTTTGCCTAGTTAAAGGTCATGACAACTAAAGTAGTATTTTTAGTAGCATATAGATTCCACACACCATTTAATATTAGCTATTATTGTTGTCTGACTCAAGTCAATCTTCTTATGACAGTAATGCTGACTATGCAGTCACTTTCCAAGTGCCTTTTTTATTTCACCTGATGGTTTGCTAAAAGAATAAAAAAGTGAAGGAACTCAATGTTCTTGTCTAAAATTGGTTTTATTTCTGTAGCACTAGAGGACACAAATGAGAAAACTTTAACATTGTATATCATTATTTCTAAAAGTGAATGTCTCCTTTCCCGTCTTCCTCCTAAATATCCTTATAGTATATAGAAGCACAGGTAAGTTACCATATTCAGCCTATCATTTCTTCCTTCTGCTCTGCTTAACTTATTCTAGCACCATAGTTGGTAGAGGCTGAAATATTTGTATCCTTTTTTCCTGGGTGAACAGAAGACTTAAAGAGCAAAACTGGTCAACAAGTTTCTTCATTACACAGTATAAAAGAAAAGTGAAACAAATCCACCTGATTTACGGTTGGGAGAGTTTAAAGATTGTTATTGGTAAGCCTTAAATCACCCCAACCCTCCACAACAATTTTCAGTTCTATTCATTGTGTTGACGTGTAAAGGTAGCAAATGAGACCCTGGGAACTGAGTGCAGTTTGTGGGCTTTTCTTACTTTTTATTTTTTCCAACACAATGAAATGTTGGAAAGCAATTATATAAAGGGGTTCAGGACTCTGAATATTTATCTATGACTGTCAGCAAGAAAACAGGTTAGATTAGGGCCAAATTTTCTAAGCCAGGAGAAGCAAGTGAAAAATAAAGTGAGTTCAAAAATAGATCAGATCTATCTCTCTTTGATTAGAGTTAGGTACAGCTTGACTCTAACATGACCCAGTAGCTCACAGTTTAAAACAAGCAACAATTTATAAACTGTACAATTAAAAAATGAAATAGTATCTGTACAAACAGTATATTATATATACAAAAACATGTCTAACAAGAGGGACACATCCATGCCATTCCAAGACTGAATGTATAGCCCGGTTGTCAAGGCCACCTGGATGGCCATCAGGTTAGGAACTACAAAAATCTCTGAAGGGCTCTCTTTCCAGAAGACAAGACAGACATTGCGACAGAGAAAGGCACACTTCCTGAGTATTGATGGATTGTTTAATTGATGGCAGCCAAAGCATGTTAACTCTGCCAACTTTTATAGATGGGCAGAAAACATGGGAAAGTAGACATGGAAACCTTTATACAATAAATGATAGCCAGCACCTTGAATAATTCAAGAGGCTACCAACAATCAGTGCAATTTGCAATTTGGTATATGACACTGACATACCAAAGAATGCACATCACAGCCTGCATCCTGCATTTTGGGTTAGTTGAATAATCTGAATGGTCTTCAAGAGCACCCCATGTACACTGTGTTGTAGTAGTCGAGCCATGAACTGAATAAGGTAGGAGTAACTGTTTGAAGGGCCTTCCAGTCCAGGAAGGTGTACAACTGGCACACCAGATGAAGCTATACAAAACTGTTCTTGGCCACAGTTGCCATCTACTCCATGAACAGGAGTTGGGAGTCCAAGAAGACTCCCAGATTGTGCACCAGAGTTTAATGAGGAAGTGTAACTCCATTCAAGATTAAAGATGAAAATTGCTGAATGCAGTGTGCTCTAAATTCTATAGCCACTCAGTAGTAGGATTAACAAGTAGTCCTTAATGGTACTACATCTACATGGAGGGAAGTAAGCATTGAGGTACCACAAGGTTCTCTCTTAGGCCCTGTACTGTTCAATATTTTTATAAATGACTTAGCTGAGGGGGATCTCAGCAAATTTGCAGATGACACTAAACTGGCAGGAATAGCCAACACCCCAGAAGACAAGCTCAGAATCCAAAAAGATCTTGGCAGACTTGAACAATGGGCCCTATCAAAAAAAATGATATTTAATGTGGAGAAAAGCAAGGTTTTACACCTGGACAGGAAAAGCCAAAGGTACAAGTACAGATTAGGTGACATCTGGCTCAAAAACAGTAACTGTGAGAGGAACCTTGGAGTCCTAGTGCATGATCACTTAAACATGTCAGCAGTGTGCAGCAGCAGCCAAAAAAGCTATTATAATCCTTGGTTGTATACACAGAGGCATAGAATCAAAATCATGTGAAGTATTAGTACCGCTTTATAAAGCCTTATAAGGCCACACTTGGAATACTGCATTCAGTTTTGGTCATCACATTATAAAAAAGATGTTGAGACTTTGGAAAAAATGCAAAGAAGTGCAACTAAAATGATAAGGATTTGGGAATGGCCAGTCTAGAGAAAAGGACTAGGGGGAACATGATAGCAGTATTCCAGTATTGGAGAGCCTGCCACAAGGAGGAGGGGGTCAATTTATTTTCCAAAGCACCAGAAGGCAAGACAAGACACAATGGATGGAAAC